ATGATGGTATCTGACTTCCACAAGAAATTATTTCTAGTCTATCCAAATTCAGTTTTCTAAGCCTACATCCAAAGCTCAAAGTAATACAGTCCTAGTCCTATAGGAGCTAACTCACTCACATAAAATATTACCTACTCTACCATTTTATACAGTTGACTTGTGAATACTATTAGCACAGATCAGTAAAAGTTACCTTTTCTACGTTGGAAAACCTCCAAAATTAGTTAAACCCCAGAAACTAACAAGCAAAAAGGACAACTTCAGAACATTTTATTTAGCATTTAAATTGCCTGAGAGACATTCTTTCATACACCAATCGTGATCTGTCACTATTCTTAGGTGGATTTTTCCACCGTTCTAGAAGACACTTTCAGGTTTGTCTATAATCATTGCTCCTTATTCAGGAGGAAGGTGGGGGGCTCTCAATGGCAACTTCCTTTTCATTCGCCTTTTATTTATCACAACGTGGAAGGAGATATAAAACATTATTCACTCGTTTAATGAAGTGAGATAAGATCTACCTTCAGTGTTTTGTTTTATATAGTATTTTCTATGACCAACATTTTGAAGTCTGGGAAAGGTTAGGAGTGGTTTTTTGATTATTCAACTAGAAAAAATTCATTTAAAACGCATTTTAAATTAAATCTGAAAGACACATTTGTGCTAGTATTTCTGATTATACTGAAGTGCATTCCAATTTTTACATCTCTAATGAAAATATATTACTGAAGCTGAGTTTTCAAGAGCAAAAATGAGGTTCTATGATTTTTACCAAACATTATGTCAGATCCAGAACTTTCAGAATCAGAAGTCCAACTCCGTTGCTTTGTAAAGCATTTTTACCTTTATAAAGGTATTCATGGAAGAAGTTAGAGTTTTTGTAAGTGAAGATTTAGATTCACAAAACGTATTTAAAGGCAATGCAAGAAGGGAACTCACTTGTTGCTTTCTGTTGTCACTGAAGCTTTACGAATAGGCTGCTGAAGACCAAGTCATTAGGTACAAGAAAGAAATTCCCTCTGGTGTAAGACAGTATTTGTCATTAAAAGATTCTTCTTGGAACTTGAACGCAAATTCCCATTTTCTCAGATTGTGACTGCTTTCCAAAACATCAAACTCTTATTATTTCGCTTTGCCAACGCTAAGTTGCAGGCTTACCTTAGCCTTCTCAAGGTCTCAGATCAGTATCTACTGTTGAGATTTTGAGAACAAGCTATGTCTACAGCATCAGTTTAGACAGGATACTATTGAAGATAAAGCAACAGGTCTCTTTGAATGCTTGTTTCTTGCCGGATTAAGAACAAATAATCAGGATTTTATCCTTCTACAACACACTTAAGGTGAAGACTGTGAGACAGCTTTACAAATTTTTCTGACTAAATTTCACATCACTACCCAAAAGCAAATGTTCATCACTCTTGTTCAACCAAAAAAGTTAAAACACAAAAGATAAGCAAACTTTCAAACACACTTCTGGTAGAACTGTACAGGACTGCTGCTTCTTAACGAGAGACGTTAAAAACTGGTGCTTTCCACATCATCCACAAGGCCTCAAAAAGACATATTCCACATGTGAAGACAAAAAGAAGTTGACAGCTTCCGTTGAAAACTTCTTACGGCATGCTTAAAGCCAAAGGGCTCCTCTAGTTAATATTAATGAAATAGTGTTCATTTCTACCAAATAAATACTGAATAGAGTAATTTTGTTTAATGCATTAATGACCTTCTAATTAAATAATCACGCATTTTTATTTTTGAAAATTCAAACCTGAAAGCCTTTAAGTGTTGCAGTAGAAACTAAAGGAGAATACTTAAAGAGATCCCTCAGGGAATTTCTGCTGATAAAGACTATCTGCTTGTATTACAAAGCTCCATGCAAGCGCACTCTAGATATGCAGAATGCAAAGAATAACTTCCAGTTGGCACAAATACCAGATTTAAAAGATCGCAGAGGGCTTTCACTGTGAAAACAAGAGGCTTGAGTCTGTAAGATTAAGATTAGAGGAGAGTTTAAAAGTTGTCACATCAGTCATGGCTATTCAAAGGACAGATAGCCATGACTCCTCACTTTCTGTAAACAACTCATACCTAGGCAATGAAGTTTCCAATAATACAGCAGTGGTTTGGAATTTTGTCACCAATTCTACTGAAAAGCTACACGATTTTAAGATCTTGCCACTTAGTTTTTTCCTCAACCGTTAAGATAAGCACAATATTGCTTACCCTTTATAACATCCCTGGTCTGCACAAGTAGAAAGTATTATTTTTGGAATGTTCTTCCACTGAGATTTAAGAGTTGCAGTCTAAATCCTCCTAGAACTGAAGTCTGGACAGGAAGAAACCATCCTCCCACACCTCCTTATTCCCTTCCCCCCCCACCCCCCCCCAAGGGCTCGCTCTTGTCATAATATTTTTCCAAACAGACTGCAGCCCAATGCTTTGCGATCTGTGAAGCAATTTCAGGATCTGACAATACTATGTACAATACTGTAGACAAATAGCTAGAGGTCATGGTACCCTCATCTCAATACATAAGCTCAACCACTACAATATTATACAATCTTCTGTGAAGAAACCTTTCTTCTACCTGTTTTACATTGTTTTGGAACATATCTGACACAGACATCTTTAGAAGATCTCAAAAAAAGTCTAATCAAATCCAATAAAGAACATACACGGATGAGTTTCCTACAATACTGCATTTCTGATGTATTTTGGAACTTTATGCTAAAACATATATCCATGAAGCTAGGCACAATCTAGCTCCTGGGATTTCTTTTCCATCAACAGCTAGCCTCTGCAACAGTGAGGCTATGAGTGATAGACTCATAACCCGAAACACAGACACATATCCTGTCAAGTTTCCTTCAAGCCTATGCAATAGCAATATTTGCTTTCAGCAGACACAGTCAAAAGATTCTGGCAAAATAAAATAGTTGAAAAAAATAATTACAAAACACCTGTTAAGCACGTTTCCTATTTCCCCTATAGCTCTGCTAACCCTAGAAGCAATTGTTTGGAGGTTAAAAATAGCAGAAAATTCCTAATGTTATCTCAGACCAGGAAGTTCTATAGGTGAATTATATACTGTCAAAATCTGTTTCCTTCAGTTATTTTTTAATCTTTCACTTTTTGAGTCGCTTATTAAGGAACAAAACAATGATGAACTAGGTATATGCAAGCACACAATATTCTTTCTTTATTATAAAGTTTTTGTAACTTCTTCTCCTGAGCATTGACTGCACTAGAGCTTTACTAAACCACAGTTATCATCAGCACAGCTGTCAGCAAGTAAGAATAAGTGAAGGTTATCCTATTTTAGGACAAGGATATGTTGTGTTTTCAGTCCGAACAACTACTGTACTATCTGAATTAAAGGATTTCATTAGTGCAGTTAGAGGGTAGAGGGCGAACAACAGCTGTAATTAGGGCAAAGCCACAGTATCTAAGTCCAGCTGAATGAGGACAATCCCAATTTCCTCTCTCTTCCCTTTCAAAAATTTTAAATCTCTAATCATCTGTAGAAATCATCTCCAGATTCTTCTCCCCATCACCCCTCCAAAGGAGTAGCCAGAGCTCAATATAATATGCAAGTGAAAGCTCATCTCTCTACTAATACGAACTTTTTGTACTCATAAACCATCCTATATATATATATATATATATCTCCCTGTTTTCTCTAGTCTGCCGAGTTGTGACAAGTAGTTTCAATCAAGCCCTCTGCTAACACATTTGAGTTTTACCTTGAAACATGACATAAAAATCTACAATATAGATTTCTGCAATAATTCTTTCCTGGAGTCTACCTTTCCTCATAGCATCAGTGTAATGGAACCAAGCGTCATACATGGAAATTCCAACCGAGGTCATCAAAATAAGTGCTGACTCTAAATAAAAGCTGTATTACATTTTTTATGTGCACGAGGAGGAAACTTTGTGCACGTGTGACTAGATGCCGAATTAAAAACAAGGCATAAAAGGAAAAAATTTCAAGTTAGAGATGGCAAGTAAGCGGAACAGTACTCCACACAAGTCCTAACCACTTATTTCACCACAGTAGAAAGGTGCAATGCTTTCCTCTACCTAAACGGGAGGGGGGAAGGGGGAGGGGAAAAAAAAAAAACTCCTTAAAAAAAATATAGTGGCAAAACCTCCTTTTAGCTCCTAATCATAAACTGGTAAGCTCATGCATTTTGGATGGAGCAAAGTCCAGCTGAGCCATGACTCAAAACAAAAGGCGGAAATACTTACGAGAGAAAGAAGCTCAATCCACAATTCCAAATAAATCTCTCTCCCTCAAAGTTTATCCAATATTATTAGAGTTTTCAGTCTTGACAAAAACAACACCTATCCCAGCAGCCAAAAAGTTATATTAAAACTAAAAGTACCAAGAATTTCACCTTATCATAGCCAGGCAAAGCAGTGCAGTACCACTGGAGATTTTACACAGACTTAAATAGCAGCCCAAAAAGATTTTAAAAAAATCTTACACAGATTTAAAAAGCAGCCCAAGTCACAAACATCAGAAAATTAAAGACGAGTCTCCAAACTAGCAGTTAACGCCCGGTTCCAGAAAACTAAAGTGTTTTCTTCAGATCTGCTCAGTAGCACAGGTTCCCCATAAGAACTGGTTGCAAAAGCCTTTTCCATTTAAACACCACATCAATATGTAGGCTGCTGTCAGAACAGCACAATGCTTGAAGTCCTCAGTAGCTCATCTCTTCCCAGCATAACCTTTGCTCTTACTCGCTGCCTCTCCTAACCTGTTCCCTAGCTAAACGCTACCAGTTAACCTGGATATCAGTCTGAAAATTATAAACTTTCTCACACACAATTCTCCTTGAAAGAAACTGAAGAGACTACTATATTAAAAGCGGACTTGTTAGCTTAAAAAGCTGCTCTTGATTTCCACGGTACCACAGATAGCATCCTTAATGAAATTTGTATCCTTCATACTGTAAGCCTCCCCTGTGTTTGGAACCAACTTTTTGATTGCTTACATTTCCTTTGTTTTATTTGAATCTCATTTGGTCAGCAGCTTGAGGAGAGAGAAGAACAGGCTTTCACAATGCCTTCTAAATGTTCTCTTTACTCTTGACAATAAGAAGAGCTCTACTATAGTTTGCACAGTTTCTCTCTTTGTCCTAAAGAAAGAAAAATGTAAGTTATGTTACCTGCATTCACTAACCCTAAATAGGTTTCTCAGCATCTGTAAAGTTAGTCTAATGAACCTGAGGAAGTGTTAGACAAACTTATAAAAAAAAAAGAAAGAAAGAAAGAGAAAAGAAAAGACTAAAGGCAGTACAGTAGCATACCAATGTATGATTTTTACATGATTGTTTTCCTCTCCCCCATTACTGTTCACAAAGGACTTTTCAGCAAGGCAACGTTATAGAAGGACAAGCACAAAGTAAAAAATTATGGCCAGTTTTTCCTGACCTCACATGCACGCAAACTTCTCCAATCAGATAAACTAGTTCTCGTTACAGACTGTACAAAATCTTCAGAGCAGTGCAATTTTCTTGTTAACAGTCTGTTAAATTCCATTTAGAAATGTTAGCCCAATTCTGGCAAACTAATTGTTCTGGTGCTTCTTTAACAAAAAAAGGAAAAAAAACTAAGAAAGCATCCTGGTTTGAAGAAGCTTGTTCAATCTGAATTTTTACAGAGACTGAGAAAAGAAGAGTTTGAAAGCATAACTAAAGCAAATCTCCCATCAAGTATTTCAGTTTTCTACATGCATTCCAACAAGTTGCTAGTCAAGTTTAGATGAAACAAGTGCCCAGGCCACCAGTATACTAAATCTGAAGTCCCCACAGTGTCTCTCGTATTTACCCTTTAAGGATAACAACATTGTCCTGTTGTAGTAACCTCAACTGAGCCATTTATAATATACACAGTCAAACCACATTTTTGAAGTACCTTTAGTCTCTCAACTCACGTCAGTTAAGTTTGTGTCCACCTACCAGAAGTCTAAAAGCGTCAGTGTACTCTGAAAAATCTGACCAGCTATTCCATAGTGCCACAGCAACAACGTTCCCAAAGGACACTAAGCAGATTGGCACCAAAGGCCCACCTTGGCAGTGTATTCCCAGATGTCATCCTGCACAGAACGCGGCAAAAAAGGACCAACCTCAGCAGTTACACAGATCTGTTACCAAAATTTAGACACAGTCACAGAATTACATACCTGCCACTAAACGTACTGAGCCTTCATTTCATAATCATGTGTAACACAAGCTATTTTGTACCATGAGACCAAGATAACACTTATTTAGTCTTGAGGAATGTCACAGACTTCCAGAGCTATTCAAGAAGGCCAAAAGACTTAATTTTTTGATCTCTGTCACATGCTTCAACTTAGATTCGGACCTCTGGCAGTGGAAAGGCAAGGCTAGCACTGTTAACAAAGTAGCAGCCATGCTACCCACTGGACCAGAATCCTTCTGAGTACCAGACTAACCAGCTTACAGATTCTGTCAAAAGAAATACATTGACCAATGAAAAACTCATCTGTTTCAGTCTAGAAAAAAAAAAAAGTAGCTGTAAAAATCAGCAGGTACTAAGATTTAAAGCAGAACACATGAATAAACTCTTGTTCACGTAAAAAGGAAACGTGCAATTGCATAAGACTTGCCCCCACCAAAGTAGTACAGAAACTCCAAAACAGTCTAATTTTCACAGATGTCACAAACCAAGTACTACTTTCTGGACTAAACATTTATATAGTAACCCAGTAAGAAATGTAAATTCTAAAAAAGGCCCCATATAAACTTTGTAGTATATGTATTTACTTTGAAGGAAACCAATCACGATTGCCCTGGCAACTCAGCATTTATGTTCTCAGCTATAAAGCTGAATACAGTACTGAGAGTTTTTTTTGAGTTTCTGGCCCTTGCTTTCTCTCCCTTCACCCCAATCTCTTCTGATTCCACAGAGAGTTTAGGGTCCTAGTTCTCACTCTTGCTGAATGCTAAAGCTAAACTGCAGCATTGTAACAGCACCATACCCTTAAAAAATATAGATCGATACAGACAGATATAAAAGGCATAGAAAGGATTGTTTTCTAGCTGTTAAGATTAACACAAAAAGGAGGAACATTCCAAGAACACTGCTCTTGAAAACTGTTCTTCATTATCATATTGGATAATCAAAGCGAAAACTGACTCAAAAAAAGAACTTTTAATACGTATGAAGTGCAAATAAGGTATGTGGTGCAAACAACTTGTGAAGTGCAAAAATCTGTTTGTCAGCTTTAAAATACTAGATAATTCAAGGATTTTACTACAATGAATTTCAATGAGTTACCAGCAATAAAAAGGTGATCAAAATTTTTTACTTTCTAATAAAACTCGGTTACTGTTACATGCTACAACATGCAAAAATTACTTCCATTATCCTTTGAACGGTACGCAACAAAATACCTTACCTCATTCTCCACTGCCTGAGCACAGAAGATTAAAAACAAAGTATTAGGCATAAACTGCAAGTTTTTCATACCAAAGAAAATAACACCGCATCAATAAATTCAGTGGCTGTGCTGCCTGACACGTACCCACTAGGAATGCCTAATGAAGACTTGTTTGGTTTTTTCGCAAGCAGCCAAATCTCAGCATTTGGAACCTGAAGGCATCCATTCATTATCTCCTACTCCAAAACGTAGATCTCAGTAACACAGCACAGCACAAGGAGATTCTCCACAGCTTGAGCTTCCTTCCTCCTAATAATCCTTACTGACTACTGCACTGCAATCCTTCTGAAAGCTATGCAACCCGGGGAGCATTGAAAGAGCCCAGGAAAGAAACAAGTTACAGTAGAGTTTGTTCAAGTCACATCATGCCTATCAGATGTGGTTCAATGGAACAACTGCAGAGTTTGGTGAGATCTCTATTCCCTCTATTTTCAGCAAAATACACACACAAAAAAATAAATTTTAAAATAGCTATATAAACATTTAAGTCATTAAATAACACCTTTAAAGTATTAGTGGCTTTGAAACTATAAATGAATTTTAAAATGTTAAAAGTTGTTTTAAAAAGTAAGGCAAAAAAGCCTTTTAAGGTTTAGTGGTTTTTTGTTTTTGTTGCTTGAATCAGGGAGTTTAGCCAATTAACTATTTTAACAGTCAGATGCTTTTCCTACACAATTAAAATTGCAAAGATTACCCAGCAGTGACATTTGTGCCCCTTGCCAAGCAGGGACATTTGTAGGTTTTTTTGTTTGTTTGTTTTGTTTTTATTAAAGTGTCTCACCATGACAGCTAAAGAATACATCATAGCATTAAAGAAGTTTTAGACAGCAAAGGCCTAATTTTACTCACTTTAACAGAGAACTTTGGTTTCGCTTCTCCACCCACCCTTCATTCTCCACAGCTGCATTTAGGAGCAACAAGAGCTTCAGTATCCATCAGCCAGTCGTTAACTCATTTGCAACAATACTCTGATTACTGCTTTAACCTCTCCTTCCCTTTACATCCTACAGAGCAAGGCTCAAAGCCGGATCTTTCAGCCCACAACAGCCCAGCTGTCTACCATCAGCAACTACTGTTCCTCAAGATCCATGCCCTCCTTGAGGGAGGATCCTGCTCACTCTTTTCTGTTTCGGCCTCACTGCAACGTTAGGTGAAGCTGAACCTATGCTAGCAATGACATCCAAAGTTCAGAAACCCTCAATAGCTTTTCACCATCTATTGCAGCTCCCCTCACCACCTCCTGCTGCTTCCCCTCCAGGAGAAGAGGGCAGCCACCACCCAAAGCAGGTTACTTGGGGATAAGTAGAAAGGAAATGAGAAAGAGTTTGGAGGTACACGTAACCTTATGGCTTCCAGCTCACAGCAATGAAAAGGTTGGCTGTTTTTGGTGGCATATTTTGACAGGGTGTACATTGACCTTTTTAAAGAAAAAACAACAGGCAACCTAGGTAGACTCACAGGTATAATCAGCACGTCTAATACCCATTCCACCACCCACAGATGAAAGAAAGATTAATTTCTCACAGCAATGCAAAAGTCACTTTTTACTGTTCAGAAGGACTACTAAATTCCCATGCACTTGGACAGCAGTTTCACTTCTACCCTCCCAGCCTCTCTTTTCTTCTTCCCCTCCTGCCTCTCTTCCGCAACAGGCAACGTACACTCAGTTTAGGCCCCCAAACAAGGTTTTAGGTAGTTTTATTTTAAGCTTGTTTCCACTAAAAAAGAATGTATTTAACTCTAAAGGTCATCTTCAGTTTAGAGTATCTTCCCAGACTTATAGACTAAACATGAAGTATTGCATTAAAAAAAATACAATAGTAGGCTTGAAAAGGGAAATGGCTGTTGGCTTCGAAATAGGACAGAATCAGAACAATTAGATACTTCCTGCATGTCTTAGAACACTTCTATACATTTTTATTCTCCTTCATTGAGGAAGGGGTATAATGCTTCCTTTCCCTTGTCTTACCTGGAAACCTACCAAGCTCCCATCTCTTCATATGTATTACCTTGTATAATAGGACTTCAGTCTTAGGCTGGGAACTGTCAAAAGTGAAAAAATAACTGGAAATAAGGAACATAAAAACATAATTATATCTCTTGTTAAAGTTGAGGGGGAAGAACCAAGGAAATATCCCTTTCCCCCTAAAAATAAACATAAATGGTAAAATAAGATTTTTAAAATAGTTTCCAGTTTCCACATTTAGTATAGAACTAACACTTTAATAACACTTCATTTAGCCTGTTTTGCTTCAGGACACCGAGAATGCTTTCAAGACAGTATGTGAATCACAGCTAGGAAGCAACCAGGATGCACATGGCTATTAAGGATGCACGCAAAGTTAGAAGATCAGACCAAGACAGAAATTCTTACAGAAAGATATGAAGACAATCTGTCCACAGACCCTCCAGCTGATTATCTAGTCCCCAAGCATCACCTGTCGCTGTGTCTGAAAACACAGCCTCTACCACTCACCTAAGGATCAAGGCATTTCCTATGCTTTTGTCCAGAAGTTGAAAGGAGCCTCTGTTTCACTTTAATGTCCAGTCCTATTTTACAGTTCATAATGAAGGCAAACAGGATTGCTAACTTTTGAAAAGAAATGATGACTCTCTAAAACTCCAGAAAAAGCACGGTGGGACAAGGAAGAAAAAAAAAAAAAGCAGAGCCTCAAACACACTTAACATCCTGAATCTTTGAGAACGGTACATTATCTCCTCTTGAAACTAAGGTACCGCGCAGTTTCCCAAATCAGACATTGCTGGCTGGGAAAGTTGGCTACCACCTATGAGCTCTAAACATATTAGTTAACTATTTGCAAAATCTCTCTTTACTTCAGATGTTTGATGGAACAGAGATAATAACTTGCTTACCTTGCTTGCAAATACAACTGATAAAAGGCACCAAAAATTTATAAACAAACAAATCCCCATAAACTATCAGGAAGAAATACTTGGTAACTTAACTCCATCAGACAAGAGAGCATGGGAAAAACTTGCTAAATAGTCCACTCTGACTGTGTAGAAAACACAGAATTAGTGCAAGGCTGTAAGAGCGCTTACTTACAGAAACAAGACTGAAACTTGCTTGAGTTTTGAGATATCACCCTCATTCATAACTACATAAGTGTGAGCACTGAAGATGATTTGAACAGTTATCACTATCAATTAACTATGATGTGAAAACACAAAAAGAGGACAATCTATTTTTATAGTTCCATGCAACAACTCAAATACGATCACTACAAAAAAAACGCTTCAACCCTCTGTCATGAGGTTTCTAAATATATGTAGTAAGAAAACAATGTATACATCAAAGAATTGTTGCTACCTACCTGTTTACATTAAAAAAAAAAATCACAACACAAACCACAGTGATACACAAGACTGCAATCTGTGCTTCCAATGGATTAATATATTGTCTCCCACTGTTGAAAGCTGGTCTTGATACTGTTAAAGCCTAAGCACACAGGCTTTCCTGCTGGGAAACAAACAAGTAAAGTCGGTTTCAAGTGTCTCCTATTAATACACAGAAACAATTCTAACAAGCCTAAAGGCAGAAGAGAGAAATAATAGGTTAAGACTGCAGGAAGCCATATCAAACTATAGCAAAACAAGCTACACTGAGATTTATTAGTTCACTAGAATATTCACTGTAAAAAGACATTCACTTTATGAAGGAAGCCACCTCTGTCACCATTTAGTGAGTCAAGCTAATCTGCAATACATTTTACCTAATGGGAAAATGTTTATAGGCCAGAGGTTCACAGTGTTCTTAAATTTCCAGAAACTGCAGATGTAAAGATACTTCTCTTAACCTGAACCAAAACCAAGAAAAGAAACTATTTGAGATGCATGCTCCATTTCACAACACGGGTTTAGTTTTACTGGCTACTGTACTTGAGCTTACTCAGCATAGGAAAGACTTACACTCCGATAGAAAAGGAAGGAAATACAAACTCCGAAAAGGGAGGTAGTTTTAATACTACCAAACAGACTTAACACATATTGGCTAGGGCATTGTGGCCATTTCTGAACTGTGATACCAAAAACTGAAGTAGTTTAAGCTACCATTTCTGTTCTTGTAAGAAATTAGTACTAGTGGAACACCTAGAATGGATTTACAAGAAAGCACGGTATCATCTGAATTCTTCCATTTTCACTTTACTGTGAGAGATATGACAAACAAGAGAGCCAAGAATCCCTACAGACAGTCAGTAACAAATTGAAATGTGTTCTTTTATTTTTTTTTTTTTTTAAAAAAACACAAGGAAAACTGGATGCTATAGAATAAAATCCATGTAACTCAAACAAAGTAAAGTGACCTGAATGAAGGAATCTTTCCTCAGTTTTCACAGGGCTGAAAACAGCTTGAGAATTATATTTAAAATTAGGCAAATCAAAAATAAAGTCACAAGCTGAATTCAAAACATTCCACAGCTCATGTTATTCCTCTTATTCTGCTACAAATACAATCAATTTTAAAATACAGATTGCTTAGATTATAGCAATCTTATTTTAGTTTCTGCTTTTACAAATTTTATAATACTGAATAGTAAGTTCATTTTTTAATTAATTTTTGAGAGTTGGAAATATTTCTAATGTTGTGGATCACAAATGTAAAAGTAGTAGAATGCTGGGGTTCTAAAACAGTCTTCAAACTACAAAATTGACCATAAAATAAATGCTACTAAGAAAAGTCTCAAAAGAGCGAAAACCACAATTGTTTTAATCCGGAAGTACAATTCTATTCTCATGACAGTTTAAACACATTTTTCCTAACAGGCCAAAAAGTATTCAGGAGAAAAAAATTCAGAGAGCTATATTAATCATCTTATCTTAACCCCTAGTGTTAGGGTTCCATCAAGCAATACACAAACTACTCATGTTACCCTTATTTTTTTATTTCACTTCCGCTACACAAATCCTTTATAAGAAGAGTTCTATCCTACTCCATCGTTCTTGCCACGCCACTATATATTAAGACATCCCAACTCTACTTTCTTCTCATAGATTATTTACCTATATATTTGCCAATGAAAGCCACATCTGTGATTACACAAGCCTTATCTTAGTTGATGTTAACCGAAGAATGACTGAAAGAGGCCATCTGACTTCAATAACTATATGCTTCTTTTTAAACTTGAAACCCAGTAGGAGGGCTTTCCCCATTGCAGGATAGAATTGACCTGTAATTGTCCAAAAAAATCTCACTATATATTGAAATAAGCAAACTAGAAAACAGAAGAGCACATTTTCCTCTGTTATCTGCTGATAAGCTCATTCATTCATGTGAAGGCCCAAATTCTACCCCAAGACTTCCAGTGATATACTGCACTGCCCGAGGAAAACGCAACATCTCTGCGCTGTAATGACCAAAGTAATCTCTTGGAACAGTCCTGGGGACCCAAAGCCACCCAGCAGTTGACAGAGAAGGCAGACAATAGCACAGCTTTTTTAAGTTCCCTAAGATACATACTTAACATTTCTCCTCACCTGTGCCTAAGTTGCCAGCCTTCCTGTCCATCCTATCAGTGTTGTACTTCCATTGGCTTCATCATCTTCATCCACATAGCAAATACCAGTCCTCACCCCCATCAATTGTCACACTGCACTCCCTGTATGCCTTATCAAAAAACCACAGCCAGAACAATATTGGTTTTGTGGTCTGCCTTAGGTTTTCCACCTAAGGCCGTTGCTGCACTTCAAATCACGAGTATAAAACAGTAGGAAGAGCTACGCTTATACATCTGGACATCATGCTGTAACAAGCTTAGTCAGCTATTTTGCAGGATGGCCCTACAAAGATCAGAATCCTTTAAGCTGCTGTTGTAAACTACGGTCAGACCATGAAACAACTCTCCTTAATTCAGACAGGAATCCAACTTTACAGAGATCTCAGTAGTTCTTGCCTAACAACGTATTTCCATGTGATTCAGGGAAATACCTCAGTGCAGTAATTCCAAACACAGACTGCACAACACCAAAAACAGAAAGGAAAAGAGAAGCAATACCAGCAGACTAGACTGGAGGCAAAGGAAGGAGAAGGAAGTCTTTGAGAAAAAGAAGTCTTTGCAGCAGCAACAAGCAGATGCATTCCAGCTCCTGATCTAACCCTCCGGTGAAAGGAAGAAAAGAGAGGATGAAGGCGGACATAGCAACAAAACACTCAACTGAAAGACTCCTCTTCTCTGCAATAGAGACTTCTCTCCTGCAGTACACTCTGCTTGTGAACAGGATAAGATAAGGGAAAAGCCTCCTGTATCACTGCTTAAGAACACTTAAAGAGTTCTCCACTGACATATGACGACATCAGACTTTATAGCTACAGTCCAATTATTCACAATTCTAGGTATGAACAGGAGACAACCTCTATGTTTATGTGACCACAAGAACCAATTAAATTTGGGTGAATTCTCCCTGGTTAACCTAAAAAAGAACCTGACTGCGACCTGTCTATCTGAAGGCAGTGCGAGACCCTCTAATTCCAGAAAAAGGTATTATTGATTCAAAACGTGCAACGTTTCAGGATCTATTTCTGTTACGCATTTCTGTCACATTTAGTAACAGTAGCAGGTCTGTTTTATCAGTTGGCAGTATTCTGAAGAGTCACCAGCCTGATATCAATTCTCATCCTGCCAGTTTTTCAAAGTTAATTAATTTAGGTTGTCTTCTCCAATTAATTCTGCTACCATCACGGCAAAGCTCTGATGCCATCATAAAGAGGGCTGATCACTCTGAATATCTGCAGGAAGAATGACCCAGTCACCAGTGCAGTCTCGTTCTAGTTATTGAAAACTCATGAATATCCCAGATTATCTCAGAACTATGGAAGCTGAGCTCTTCTGTACTAATTTATAGCCATCATATGCCAACTTCTTTATTCGTGCAGTGAACATTTCAATACGTGGGGTAGTTTAACGGGAGGTAGTAAGGAAACAGGATCTCATAATAATAAGTCCCTTATACACAAACATTAGAGGCTTCTTAAAAACAATTTCTTTTCACAGGGGGAAAAAAAAAAAAAAGTAGAAATCAGAAGAACAAAGAGACAACAGCAACTTAACAAAAGTATCATAAGGGCTCAGGACGTTCTAACAGGGAGTAAGTCCCTACAGGAACATGCGTATTCTTAAAACCTTTTCCAAATGCTTTGGTTCCTGTTGTATTTATTGCATGTAATACTTGGCAATAGGCTCTGCCGCACGAGCCCTGGTAACTAACTACAGCAATTAAGATGTTGCTGTACCTCTAGCTGCCCGTCCCACCTCTTCGTTGGAGGTTACTAAGCCTGAGGTAGTAAAAACACATGGCTCCTTGGCTTCTACAGTTCACATCACATCATAACAAAAAGCTCACGTTCACTGCTGCTTTAAACACCAATAGGACAAAGTGAATTCCAGCACACAACTTTGGGTCTACCTAAGAGTGGAGGAAATGTGCAATTCCATTTCAAGGTTAGCAACAGCATAGACTGACACAACCCCAATGACTTTCTGCATTTAGTTTTAACTGCAGAGTCAGGCTCTCCTTTCAAGATGCCAAGTGAGGCTGTAGGCTAACTACTTTGAAGCCCAATGACATCTTGAATTGGATTCAATATTTGAAATCAGAAGAATAAGAGAAACTAAGACTGCATCCTTGTTGCAAGAAAGATGTAGGCCAGCTGAAAACTCAAGAGACCAGTGAGTTACCCAAAACCAATCACTCCAGTCATAGTTCATTTTATTTTGAATTGTAATTCTGTTCTCCAAAACACTTGTAGGCCTTCCTAATTTGGTACCCACCTGCAAACATACTAAATTTATTCTCTTTTATCCTATCATTTAATTCACTGTTGAAAATTTGAAGCACAAATGACTTAATTTCTTTTGGCATTATTTGTTGTTACTTTCCACTAGTCAGCATGGACAGAGAAAATTTCCTCTTACTGCTCAAGCCCATATGAAAAACATTTTCTTGCTATCCTTCATCTCCCTTGCTAGTTAGATATTTTCATGCCTCAGATGCTCCATTTGTTCCCCTACAGGTCTATGTCATTCTGTAAAGATGTTACTCATCTTTAGCGCTGTCACCTAATTTGGTGCAATTTCTTATCAACTTTCAGATCCTTAGTAATGTACTAATTTAGCCAAAGTGGTCTGCGGCTATGCATCAGTGTAAAAAAAAGTACAAAACAATAATTCACACTTGTGCCCCAAAAACAGATAACTTCACTGAATTCCTCTTAGGTATCTAACATGCTTCCTATGGCATCTTTTCTACCAATATTTTGAATTTAAGTTACTGCCTTTATTTTGCTGTTCTTCCTCCCTTACTTCCTAAAAGTAATGAACTATCAGTTTGAGATGATCTTTCACAAGCTACCTTCTTCTTATATCTTCTTAACCAGTTCCTTCTTATCAGTAAGAATTAAATCACGATGAGTGCCCTCATTTTTTAATCAAGAGCTTTCCCCCAAACCAATAGGATCACATGTCA